AAAAAAAAAAAAAAAAAAAAAAGAATTCCTGCTCTGAGAAGTGAAGAAGGTAAGTCACATGGTATACGACTTCCTGAACAATTAGGGCACCAGGAAGAAACACGTTTTTCTTTCTGTTGGTAACTAACTTAGGAAACTAAAGTGGGTCAAAAAATAAAGCAATATGGCTTCCCTCCAAAAGCAGTGACTAGTGTTTTTTGACCATCAATATTCTAATCCACCAGCTATTAATTACAGTAAGAGCAAAATCTACCTGGCTTGATTTACCTGGTTATTTCTCTTTTCCCATATTACTTTGCTAAACCAATGACCCAGCAGATGAAGTTCTACGGCCTTATATCCTATAGGTTTTCCTCCTGGAATTATAAAAATCCTTTACCTTTTATAGTCCAAAAACTCATTCTGACAATTTTGAGCAAAATATGATGTTTGCTTTGAAACATATCTCATACACTTGATGTAGACTTTTAGGAAAGAAACCGTTTACTGTCCTGTGGGTATATGCTCTCCATTTCTGGACAACAGCAACAGAGCAGACACTGGGTACCATGTGGCTTCTGAAACTTGTTTAGAACATGAAGACAGAGCAGGAATAAGTTCCCAAGCATAAAAACAGACATGAGTTCCGTGCTGATTACTCATCAGCAAAGTCATACTTCCAGAGAAAAATAATGCTCTAGCAGCTGAAATTGCACAGGGAAGATTTCTGTAGCAGAAAGTACAAGCAAAAACTAAAAGTCTCCTTGGAAGACTGTAATTTGGATTCAATTGTACTGTTTCATAACAAATGCTAGTTTTCATTTTCCTAAGAAAGTCACAGAGTGACACAGAGGGCAGGACAGTGGGAAAGTAGATGTCTGACCGGGTTTGCCGTCTGTTAAGACAGGCGCATACTTGTTGTGGACAACCATGCCACGTTTCTCTCCGGTCCAACCTGATGATGGCAATGTGTGTTTAAACAATGGAGATGGTAGGGTACAATCGATTCTTGGAATAAGCCCCAAAATTGTGCAACTCTCTCCACTTTAGCCATTTCAATATGGAAAGACTAGCCTTTACCTCTGGGGAAAGAGGCTGAATTTTATCATAGAAAAGCAGGAAAAAAGGCTAGAGCATTATGCAGGGAGGAAGGAAAGGTAGTCCTGTCTCCCGTTAAGATAGCACATTCTGTTATGAGAGAGAAGACCCAGAAACAACCTGGAGCCCTCAAAGCCAACACACGAGGACTGTCTTGCAGTAAAAACTGCACAGAAGACAGAAGACACAACCATACGATGAAAACAGTACAAGTTTTAGTGAACTGTAATTAAATAAACATGTGATGGCATTATGGTTTATGTCTAAAATGTCCCCCCAAATTCTTTTGCATCAGGAAGTTGTCTGGATCATGAGGTCCTGTCTTCACCAGTGGGTTTATCCAGAGTGACAAGTCCATAGCTGACGTGCAGCCAAGACGGGACCTGCTTGGGGTTGGTTCCTGGGGGTGTGATGTGGAGGGATGTTTTCTTGTTCCCCATGCCTGTGTGCCAGGCCATTTCTGCCTAGAGCCAGCCATGAAGTGAGTCCTCTCCCCGCTCCTCCCTCAAGCCGTGTGTGGTTGGTATTTTGTCCCAGCAACAGGAAAGCAACAGAGAGAGCTGTAGTAAATTTGGGAAGTCTGGGTACAGGGGTGGAGAGTATATAGCTAAGTGGCAAGGTGACTACCTGGAATGCACGAAGCTTTGGGTTTGATACCCAGCGAAGTAAACACACAAAACTTTCTGGGACAGATATAAAAAAAGCAAAACGACTCCAGAGCAAATGTTTAAATAAAAAGGTCACCATCATCATGTTAAATAAGTTGATTTAGGGAACAAAGAGCCACCCTCAAAATGGGCATCAATCCAGATGGTTCTGGGCCAGTTTTGCAGGCCTGCAAGGTACAGCATGGTACCCTTGCAAAACAGCACTCAGGAGGGCCCAGCTCCAGCACATATGAAGCTCGTAACATCCATGCTAATCTCCTTCGAGGGTCCACAGAATCTCCGCTGTTTTCACTTAGGAACACAGATGGGACAAGATTAGCAACATGAGTGGAAATCAAGGCCAAGAGAGCGCCCCCACGGCCTCAGGTCTCATGCTGGAAGATGAGGTGAACCTCAAGCTGGGGAGGCCGAGCTCAGCCAGACCAGGTCTGCGTCAGGGAACCCGATGTCCCTGAGCAGGGACAGGGAGGCTGGGGCAGCACAGCCGACACCATGCAGAGCCCTGGCTGCTTGGCAGAGATGCCTAATTAACATGGCAAGCGCCACCCCCTGGCATCTCCCATGTGGCCAGGCCAGCAGCCTCTGCCAGAGTCACGGATTCCATGCCACCCCACCCAGGCTGCCTGGGAGGCCGCTCAGCAGCGGAGTGTGGAAATCATGCGTGTCAGTGTTGTGCTAGCTGCCCGTGTGACGAGCAGACGCCACAGCTTGTCAAGAGTGACGTTTAAGTGCCTGCTGTGCCGAAGTCATAGATCATTTACTCTGAGACTCAGCCCCGGGGAAAGGGGCTCATGAATCGGGGAGCTAATGTACTGCTTGCCTCCAAGCAGGACCAGGAGAAGTCCGAAACTGAGCTGGGAAGAAGCCCGGCTTCAGGTGGCCGAGGGCCGATAAGTAGCTAACTCACATGCGGTCCCTGTTAGGGGCTCAGGAAATGCAGTGAACTCCCAAGTTCTCTTCCATGCCTGTGCACTTTCCCAGGAATGGCTATTCACAGTTCAGACCCCATGCTGTCTTTTACAACTTCAGGAGGAGGACAGGAGTTTATCAACACAGCTTCTCACTGTGCCGACAGCCTCCACAGCTTTTCTCACAGCCCTGCGAGGGCCCTGCTTTCCACTGTCCGAACCGTCCCCAAGGTACCACACCACCTCCCAGATCTAGCAAAGGCCCCAGGAAAGGTGTCAGCCCTGGGTTCACAGTGGACTCGTTCAAGGGACAGGGAGGTGGCTTCCCTTCACGCCTGTGTGTGCATCATGCGCACTGGTGGGGTCTTGGTGGTAGAAGGAACGAGGAAAAGTTGACTTTTCGAAGGAAGAGGAGAGGGACAAGAAGAGGAGAGTGAGAGATACAGACGTAAATATGCCAAGGATGCGTGCAAGTAAAACAAGGGTGCAATATCGGCAGAATGTTTAGCCTATGAGAAGGAGACAGGTGCTCATATCGGGAAAGGCAGGAAGGCATTAGCTCCTGGCAGGAGGAGGAGGAGGAAACATCACCTGGATTCCGGGCCTGCGTGAGTGCAGGGTAGCGGCTCCCAGGGTGCTGGCCCTGGCATCCTTAAATCCATACCTGGCCTGGGCCGAAGGCAATTAAATCAGGACCTGATGTCTAAAGCTCCGTGGGGCACCCACTGACCTGGACAGCTGCAGCTTTTGTCTCCTAATCAAATGCATTCTTCCATCTGAAGAGAATTTAGGGGACATCTCACTGGAGCCCAAGAGCAGCGGTGTAGGAGAATCAGAAGGACCCCAGATACAGAACTGCCTGGAGGGGCTCGGAGCTCAGGATGGCTCATGAGAGACACACAAATTAATTACAATAGAAACGAGAGCAGCGCTCAGTGGCTCGGGCTCTGCAAGGGAGAGCCCACGCCCACTCTGTCCCACTGACCTTGGGACTGTCCACTTCCAGCCGTGCTAATGGGTAGACGGTGGGCCTGGCTGGGCAGGGCCCAGGCAGGGTCTCTGCTCCCCACAGCCCACCTCAGAGGCCTCAGACAGGCGCTGCCCACACCCAAGAGGAGCGGAGGGGTCCTGACCCCTACGTGTAGACTGTTCCTGTGGGAATCATGAGTATTGGTTGTAAGTATTGTTAACTTTAGTAACTCCATGTTTGTTAAGTTTCTCCAGTTTAGCAGGTGGTGTGTCTCCTTTATGGAATTGCTGAAAGTTGCAGTTTCTTGTCTCTGACCTTCAGATGTGTGGTTGTCTGGGTTACTACTACCCAAGGTGGTTGTTTTTGTTGAGCCTGTTTGCTCTTTTCCTGTGTGAACTTTCAGTTACTATGGTAACCCCATCCCATAATAGTTTGTGGGTTTTTTTTTGCTTTAAAAGGCTGATGCTTGCCGGCAATAAACATCGCCTTGATCAGACTCTTGTCTTGGCGTCCTTCCTTTCTCTCTGCCCCATCTCCACCCCACTGCTCTTTCAGGTTTGAGGCACTGCTGGACAGTGCTCTGCGTCGACGGCTCGTGACAGTTCCGAAGACTTTCCAGGGGCCGAGTAAGGGCCTACGGCGTCAGACAGGAGCTCCCATCAGGAGGAGCAGGTGGAGGGAGGTGAGGCCCCAGGAAAGTCTGCAGGGCTCATGTGCTCCAACCCCAGCTGCCCCCAGAACATGGGTAAACGTGAGCATGAGAGGCCGCCAGGGGCCACACTCAGTTAGTGACCGCCGTGCCCACACCTACCAGCTCCTCGTCGTTCAGCGACGTCCTGATCACCATCGCCAAGGAGAGGCCGGACTTCCGCGCAGCCAGGGTCTGCCCCAAAGAGAATCGTGGTGTATTAGTGGCAGGAGGTTGTTGTATCCGCGCTGCCCCGCAGAAGGCCAAGGGTAGGGGTGGCGCCCCCCTGTGCCCACGCAAGTGGACAGGGCCCTGCATGGCCAGTGGTTGGCTGTTCACCCAGGACCTGGCCTCAGAGAGCCGGGACCATGAGGGCCCTGACCATCAAACCCAACAGAAACGTCACAGTCAATGAGGCTGAGGCCCAGCGAGGCAAGGTGACCGCCCACAGCTGCCAGGCTCCAGGGAGGCTCCCACCGTCCGTTATCCCTAGATCCTCAGCCTGACTTCTGGGGTGGCCTTGAGCCCTGGGGGATGCCCGATGGGTCCCTGGAGCCTCCCTGCACATCCAGCCGGGACGCTGTCCTTACCACCCTTCATCTGCCGACACCAGACCTAGAGCCTCTCCTCCCTGGACTCCGGGGTCATAAGTGACCACTGCTGGCAGTCAAGTTATTCCCACCCTGGAACTGGGCATTGCCACTCCCCCGCCCAGAGCATGCATGCTGCAAGAACCTGGGCTGTGCCCCAGGGAACTGGACAAGTTCCAAGTGGGAAGGCGGGGCCAGTGACCCCCTAAGGAACAAAGGGAAATCACAGTGGACCTCTCTGTCCCCCGTCTGCTCTCAAAACGCCTCTCCCAGGGTTACAAAGCCATGCACACAGGTACAGATAAAGCTTTGCACTTTCCCGAATCAGGAAGCCGCTCCTCACCGGTCTCCACCCCTACTGTGTCAGTTCCTAGAAGACTTTTTTACATTCCTTCCTCTCAGACCACTGCCTGTAAAAGTACACCTGTGCTCTCTCTCAATCTGAGTTTGCACTATTGTAGCCACAATGTAGCTCTTTAGAACAGAAACAGATTTAACATATGGCAGAGTCTGGACTTCTATTCCTGCAAGTGTCTGGTTTTTGTTTTGCTTTTGCTCCCTTTTAGCTCATGAATAAGGAAAGTGTGTTTGGGAAGGTCAGAAAATAGTGGCAAATAAATTACAAAGTACTTACCATGGCCTGAAGATCCGGAAGTGAAAGGAAACAAAGTTTAAATCATTAAACAATGAAGGTAGCACAGTAGAACACCGTTAAATTGATCTAACACTTCAAAGGAAGTTGTGCTCTGGACTTAGAGGGATCCAAGCCAAGTGCACGGAATCACCATGCTTCGGGTATACGGACCTTCCCCAAAGCACAGTGCTGCACTCAGTGACCCTTTTTATAGCAAAATTAAAATTGCAGGTATAAAAATTAAGCACACTGGTGTTAAAAGAGAAAGTTATGTTTCTTTGGGGAGGATACATTTTTTACATAATAAACCATTTAGAATCCCACATAGCCATAGAAAAATGTGATGTTTCAAATGATAGAAATAGTATTTCCCTGTGGATGGGTTTTCTTAACAATTGAACATAGGCCACCACGCCATTATGGAAGAACAGCATTTCTCAGTGATTCCCAGAGTATTTATCATAGGAGAATGAGTTGTTTAAAATCATACCAAAGACTAATGAAACTTTAATGGCTTGTGTACCATGGCTCTCTTGGAAGGCAGACTCAGCCTTCACACATAAAGGACCGATGAATACTTCTGGCTTCCCACACAGAGCGCTCCGGTCTTCTCCGTTTGGGGAGGAGTTTCAGTCAAGCCCTCAGCCTTCCACACATAGTCACAGCTCACCATGCCCAGCTTGGGGCCTTGCAGGTGGCCGGCTGATTCCTTCGGCTTAGTTATACTCCCTGTGACTCAATATGTAACTTCACCTAATATGAACAGTGGCCAGAAGGTGAGAGTTGTTCCTTCTGTCAAATACATTTTAAAGAAATAATAAATGTAACACTTGGCAGACTCTGGCCTCATATATTCTACTCAATGAAATATTTATAGGCTAGGTAGCTAATGAGAAGGACATTAGGTTTTAATAAAGAAAAAGTCAACGCGTGCAACCCGAGAGCAGGGACCAGGAGTGACTCACCGCATCCCTAACAATGGGCAGTGTCTTCTTCCTGCGGAGGTCCGGCATGCTGTCGATGCCATACAGTCCCCACCCGGCCCTGTGGGGAGAGCAGTGAGGCGGGTAAGAGGACTGCACAGCAGGGAGGACTCCACTGCCTAGCAAGGCTTAGCACGCCGTGCACAACACAACTCTCAACTAAGTCACGAAGCAGCAAAGCCCAAGGCTGCAGGACTCTGTTCAGCGAGGACCGTGGTCCCAGTGCCTGCCTGCCGGCCAGTGTGCACCGAGACCCCAGGGCATGGCCCGGAGGGAGGAGCTGCTTGCCGTCAGGGCCTAGGAAAGGAGACTCAGAATGGCTAGGTGGGTGGAGGTGTGCGGCTCCACGGGAAACTGGGCCACGGTCTTCTCAGGGCAAGCTGGGCCTGTCTGCGACGGGCAATAACCACCCCTTGTGGAAGGGACACTTTTCCGTGCGCTGCGTCCTCATGGAGTCGGTCTGTGGCGGCATCTCCAGGAGCCGTGGACGAACGTGGACAGTGATTCCCCTCAAATGAAGGGTGCATTTACCTGGGTCTGCCCCACGACAAACGCACAGGCCTGGGCACTTTGTGCCATGAGGGTATATTTCCTGACAGTTCTCCTGATAACAAATCTGGGTTACCCTGAACACCATGGCGCCGTTTTGTCTCCCGGGCTTTCTTAACCCAACATTCGCTTCTGGCATCAAACACTAGCTTGGTAATTTGGGGCAAATCCCAGACTCATCATATGACTCATGCAAATAGTAAAAGAAGCAAAATAGCAATACAGTTAAGACGGCAAGAAGGGACTCGCAGTGATGCCACAGTGAAGGTCTGGAAACGAGGGGCGAGTGCATGATCAGCCCTGTGCTGGAGGACGACAGGGAGGAGAGTTCTCCTCAGTCGAGCAGCGGCCTTCAGTTTAGCTCCAAGGACAAGAAAACCAGTGAAGGGAGCAGAAGAGCAATGAAAGAAGAAAGAAGAAAAGGAGCAAAAAGAGACGAGTAGCCGAGCAGCGGGGCGAAGGGACCTCAAGAGCCTGGTCTTCACCATATGGTGAGGACGATGGTGCGCGAGCCAGGGGTGGGGCTGTGTGCCTGCCGCACAGCCACCTGGGAGGCTGAGGCAGGAGGATCACTCAGGCCCAGAGGCTGGAGGCAAGCCTGGGCCACACAGTAAGACCCTGGCCGGAAAAGAAATTAGTAAATCTTGTGTCATTGCTGAGGTAATGCCACCTACCCCAAAACGAGGGCTAGTGAGTCAGAGATGCAGAATGTGGGTCACAAGAAAGAAGTCACTGGCAGCGCACTCTTCTCTTCCAGTGTTGCTCAGTGTCTTCGTCTCCTGTTGTGTTATTATTATTTCTTCTTAGTTGACAAACAGTAACTGTGCACATGGATGAGGCACACAGCGGCATTATAATCTGCATTCACACTGTGGAAACTTCGCCCTTCCTCTCAGCGGCTCAGCCACCCCGCCTGTGGGGAGGACTCAAGGTGCTCTGCTGCACCCTAGGAACTGCAGGCCGGAAAGGGGAGGAAGGGTCACCTCTGCCCCCGAGCTCCCGTCCACGCAGCGTACACAGGTCCCCGCGAGTGGCCCTGCCTCCATCCGAGCGCTCCCCACACCTGGCCCTGCACACTGGGCATGCGCCAGGGCACACTCCAGAGCGCCTACCCAGCACGTGTGCGCCAGTCTTAGGCCTGCTGTGCCTCCTCCCGTCTGGGACAGTGGGACAGTGTGTAAAGGGTATGTTAAATATTCTTGTATTGCCCCACACACCAATCACACTAAGCAGCTGTCAATGCTGTGAAATGCTTTGACTTCTAAATAATATAATTTCACAGCTATGTAAAGAAACCCATTCAATCGCAACCGTCAAGAAAGTGACTTTGTAAACCGCAAAGTATTACAGAAATGTGTATTTTCTTCGCAGCAGTGATAATTATGTCCTTCATGTTTCCCTCCTCGTGGATCTTGGTTCAGATTCTTGAAGTGCATCAAGCCCCATGCCACCTCTCTGCCTGCAGGCATAGGGGTCAGACACACATGTGGGCTCTGGGCCAGACGCTCCCCCCACACGTGTTTCCATGCAGCATAGGTGGCCCAGGCCAGCTCTGAGCATGATGAGCTGGGGGCCCAGTTACAGGACAGGCACCCCAAATTCCACTGAAGTTTCACTTAAATTTTGTAATTCAGAAAATCGCAATACAATAAAAATGCCAGCCTCACAGAGAGGCTCAGATCTTCCCTAGTGCACTGGCATCTCTACTATAAAAGGTGTCTCTAGAAACATTCTGCAAGCCTGTCCACCCAGCAGTTGAGCTTCGTGTGTACACCTAGGCCTTAAACAGGGAAGTCTGTCCAGGGCCTCAGCTCGGGACACAGGAGTGCTGATGAATACCGTGACAAGCTCCAAACATGCAGTCACGGGTTTGTGGTGCATGCCAACAGCTTCCCGATCATGAGGGCATGGAAAAGATGGCATTAAGAGGGGTGGCACCCAGAGTTATCAGGAAACAAACCCCTGAATTCCCAGCCAAGAGGTCAGGTCCATGCACAGCAGCTAAATTCAGAAGAAACTGTGAGGCCCAGGGTGAGAGTCAGAGGTGGCCTCCAACAGGCCACGGCAGACAAGGACTCTCCAGGGACTGGGGAGGGGCTTGACTTAGGTCCTTTGGGCGTAGCTCGCTGGACTAAGATGGGTCTGACGAGAGCCGAGTAGCGAGTCACAGACAGCAAACATCGCCGTGGTGCGTGGCAGGCCACAGAGATGACGCTCACCATTACAATTAACACTTTAGGCTCTTCTTGCTCTAAAAGATCCAATGAGATATGAGTTCAGTTGTTTCCTCCATTTTACAGAGGAGGAAATGGAGACAGAATACTTCCAAGGCATCGAAAAGGCACAGCCTAGAAGTGGCTGACGCAGGTTTTAAACCCGTGCCCTGTGGCTTACCGTGTGCGGCCCCCGCCTGTGATGGACAGTCCCACATGGGCACCCCATACCTACGCTTGGTTTCCACTGTGGGTGACCTTGCCGCCACCCCTGCCCTTCAAGGCAAAGCAGGCCTGCGACAGGGCCTGCCAGCTGACAGGGGAGCTGCTGTCATCCCCTGGTTTCTCGGGAATCTCCAGAGGATCACCTTCGAAGGGGCGGAAGGGCCTGCCCAGCTGACAGGGGAGCTGCTGTCATCCCCTGGTTTCTCGGGAATCTCCAGAGGATCACCTTCGGGTCAGAGCCCTAGGCTACTTCACCATGGAAACAGCCCAGCCCCACCCCCTAGGACCCGAGCTCCCCCTAGAGGCGACCAGGGTCACTGCAGTAGAGACAGGAGAACAGAGCGGGAGGACGGAGCCTCGGAATCACATAAAACCGACAAAGTGGACGTCGTTCTATAGAGCAGTTAGCAAGGCGAGTCCTAGTTCAACATTTACTCTTCACATGATTTGGAAATTAATATTAGCTTTAACTGACACATCATAGTGTATGTGGGGTGCAAGGCGCTGTTCTGGCCCGTGCGTGCCATGTGGAATGAGCTACATCTCCCTTCGCTCACGCATTCATCATTTCCTGCGGAGAGGCCTTTAAATTTTATGCCCCTCACCAAGATAATTGCAAGACTTTTGGTAGGTCTCCTTTTTCTGCTTCTTTGTTCTTTTCATGGTGACATTAAAATTAATTTACTAAATTCAATAAAATCTAATATATTTTGACTCGATTCATCTAATCACCTTGTTACCAAATAAACACAAAGCGTATTCTCTAAAGGACATACCTGATACGATTTTTAAGAAGTGTGATCTGTGGGTAGATATAGAGGCTGCTTTTACTGACCGAAGTAAAGGTTAATATTTTGATTCATAGCAGAACTGGCACCATGCTGGATACAAATGCATATGGGACAAGAACCCAGCACAGCGCTGGGAGAGCGACGGGTCCCGTTGTGAGACAGTGAGTCCCACGCCCTCGGCTGGACCTCGGGACCTCGGGATGGCAGAGGGGACACACGGCCGGTGTGGAGACCTTACACACTGTCAGGGGGCAGCGCAACAGTACCGGTGCCAGCTCCCTGCAGAAGTCAGAAAGCACAATCACCAGGTGACCCAACGATCCCCTCGCTGGGGGACAGCTAAGGAAAGAGAATCCCTGTCACAGCACGCACCCACGTTCATCACAGCCCAGTCAGGCGGTCACCCTTGGTGCCCACACACAGGGGACCCGGCTCATCCTGACCACGCGACACTGGCCAGGGCCCACAATGAAGGAAACGCTGCCATCTGGGACAGCAAGAATGAACAGGAGGGAGATTACCTGAGGTAGAGTAAGTCAGCTTCACAGACAAACACTGCCTGATCTGGCTCAGATGAGGGGCCCCAAACGGCTCTTCTCACCAGATCTGAGGGGAGGACCGTGGGTCCAGGAGCTGGGTCAAAGGCAGAGGTGGGGTGACGGGCCAGAGGACAGAAAGCACCCACTGGACGGAAGGCCCAGGAGGTCTGCTGGAGGACTCGCTGTTGTCTTAACGGGGGACAGATCAGCTGGGAAAGGAAGGGGACCAAGAGACGGCGAAGAGGAAGACTGAGGGCAGGGAAAGGAAATAAAAAGGATTCAGATGTGTTTGGCGCAGGCACCGACTCCCCACAAAGTGCACACACGGGCTAATGAGAATAAAAATACTAAGAGTGGATGTTATATCTCTCACAAAAACTCTGATAACTATGTGACAGGATGCATCTGCTAATTAGCTTGATTTTGTCATTCCATAAGGTGTTTATATTTCAAAACTTCATGCTGTACATTATGAAGATGTACATTTTTACTGACAACCTGAAAAATAATAAAAGCTAAGATTATTCAGAAAAAGAAATTATGAAGCAGATTTTTGAAAATCAGGTATTTCTGAATATAGGACAAGGATACTTTCACAAATAGATGGCTGATGGCTAAATGGTTAACATTCATAGGTTAGCTAATTTGCACTAGAATCAGAAAATTTGTAGATTCTATGTCCAAGAGGGTTTTAAATCAACAGAATAAGACAGTTTTTAAAAGACCAATGCATATTGCTTCTGG